TTAAGTGCTGAATATGCTAATGTTTAAGTTATAATCAGGAAATGGAACTATTTTTCCTTCCTACATATTTGCAATAATATGAGGAGAGTTACAGTTTTTTGTCTTACCTACTTTGCCAGGATCTTAACTGACTGAGTGGTGAAAGCTCTGAGTACTTTTTTTTTTAAAGATTTTATTTATTTATTCGTGACAGATACAGAGAGAGAGAGTCAGAGACACAGGCAGAGAGAGAAGCAGGCTCCATGCAGGGAGCCCAACGTTGGACTCGATCCCTAGTCTCCAGGATCACACCCTGGGCTGAAGGCGGCGCTAAACCGCTGAGCCATCCAGGCTGCCCTGAGTAATTTAATCTCAATAACCATGTTCATTGGTTGGTTCCATGGTTAAGAGGGGACCACTTGATGGGATGAGCACTGGGTGTTATACTATATGTTGGCAAATCGAACTCCAATAAAAAAATGTACAAAAAAAAAGTACAAGTGGAACATCACCTAGTGTGTACACATGCTTTCTGTGTGGTAATATTGTTGAGTGTAATGATGCTTCTTACAAGCAAATGCCAATGATGGGCATTTGAAAAACAAGCTGTAATTGGCTGGTTATGAGAGAAAACTTCCATAAGCATGGAAAATATTGAAGAGTGCCTGTATTTTGAATAAAAGGTCTTTTATGTAAAAAAAAAAAAGTTTGATTCGTACCCCAGCCCCCCATCTAATGATTAAGAATTCACAGCTTCACTTTTGGCAGAATCTAGGGTTCTGTGACTCTTGAGTGGCAAACTAGAGCAGTTTATTTTCAGTTTGAAAGATACTGAAATATATCTGCAGATGGACAATGTGTATTATAGTCACCGTTTCATCCAAACCACCAGGGCAAAGCACTTGTCATATAGAAGACATTCAACACGTATTTGTTGCTGAGTGGCTGAATTCTGTTACAATAGTAAAAAGTCTTTAGAGAGAAAAAAAATCAATCTTTCTGAGTGCTTTTAAGTTAGATTGTATTTTCAAGATTTTTCTCCTTAACTTGTTATTAGAGTGTACACCCTGGAACTAGTTGCTAGGATTGGAAACTTGTCTGCCTTATTACTAGCTATGTAAACCATGAGCAAGTCATCTTACTTCTTAATGCCTTGGTTTCATTATTTATAAAATGGGCATAATAACAGGGCCATAGTGTGGAGGAATGAGTTAATATAAGAGAAGTGTTTAAAAAAATGTCCAACCATATATTTGAGAAATCTTTTTTTTATTTGAGAAATCTTGATATTGTTATTGTCCTTTCTATTACTGTTGCTACAATAGCCTCAAGATCCCCTCACTATGGTGAATCTCATTTATTTTGTTGTTACCTTTCCCAAAACTAAAGTTCACGGAAAACATCTCTAATTTAAAAACATAAATAGTGGGAGCCTGGGTAGGTCAGTGGTTGAGGGTGTGCCTTGGGCTCAGGACGTGATCCTGGAGTTTGGGGATTGAGTCCCATATCGGGCTCACTGCTTGGAGCCTGCTTCTCCTTCTGCCTGTGTCTCTGCTTCTCTCTCTGTCTCTCATGCATAAATAAATAAAATCTTTAAAAATAAATAAATAAAAACATAAATAGTGAACTTTGTCTCACATGTAATGTAACTCTAAATTTTCTAGACTCTATTCTGCAGAGCCAACGAAATGTTAGGAAATTTTATTCTTCCATTTTCATTTTTGAAGGATCAAGTGAAGATGGATTTATTTTGACTGAATGTGAAAACAATAATCATCAATATGGTTGCAGCAATTTCTGTCTGCTCATTCTGTACTCATCTTTTTCCAGTTCCAAATATCATTTGCATGGACCTGATGATGTTGAGTATGGATATTGCAGCAGAGTGATAGCTTCCTTTTCATATTGAAGCTGAAGCTTCAAAGGGAAGATTAAGGAAGTGTTTGTTATCTATCTGCACAGGCCTGATATGAAATTCTGAGAGGCCTTTAGGATAAACACAACTCTGTGTGTGTGTGTGTACATGCCTTTTCTTCTGTGTAATTCTATTGCAGTGTTTGTATTTTGGTGTAAAATGTCTAGTTTCAGACTTGTTGGAGTCTCTGGCTAAGGGATAATTGTTTTCAGAGTGAAAGATAAGAATTAGAAGATGTGGGCAGGATTTGACTAAATGCCTCCTGAGTGTAGAATTCTCTAATGTGGGGTCATCTTTCCAGAGAATGTGATGAAGTCCATCCATAGGGTATATTTAATGAGACAAGATCAAGACTTTAAATGTGTTGTATCCAGCAGAGAACAATCTATGGTACCCTTCAGTGAGGGATGAGATTGCTCACCTTTTGGCTTTGCCTTTTAGAAGTATCCTCCGTGTTTGTGTGTGTACACAAACTTTCTTTAGGGTTGTACAGTTAAAATGTAGAGTAAGAAGAAGAGGAAAAGGTAGGGTAGCAGTATTGTTTTATACCTTCTGAAAATGAAGAGAATTAACGTTCCACTTCATACCATTTCATGTCAAGTTTATATGATTTTTAATGACAGAAATATTTAATTATGGCATCATCAAGATTAAGGCAGATTCTGCTTTTTAGCATCAACTAGATAGACCTGTTACTTTATTTAATACTGTTAAGTTGAATTCTTTATCTGTAATCAGCCTTCTCATGATACAGCTACTATTGGCAGAAGCAATATTCTTAGTGTATGTGAACTTACAAGATCTTAACTAAAAAGAGAAAGCAGGAAACCAGGGTCACTTTACAGTGGATAGAGAAGGGAACTGGAAATATGTGTGTGCATTGGAGTGAGGATTGTGGGGAAGAGAGGACAAAAGAAAAGGCTGAGATAATAACATGTTTCACCTACTTAACAATTTGCCAAGAGTTGGCCTTTTAACTGCTACAAGCATGGCTCCATTTTTTTTTTTCTGGGTGAGTAGATGAGAACATTAGTAGCAATGTTCCTGCTGTTGCATCAAATACATTTTGGAAGGAGAAGTACACACACATGCACATACATACACACACACACACACATACACACACCCTTGTACAGGCCCACATCTAACTTCTATTTATATTGAATTGGAGGTTGAGTAATGATTGGAATCAAGGGCTAAAGCAAGACCTCAAGAGAGGGTGGGAAACAGCAAGAGAAGATAGAAATTGCTCTCCCCTTTGATAATTTGCTGGATTAGCTGTGTTTTATAAAAAGAGATTTATGAAAAAACTCTTCATAGTGGCCAATGTACAGTGGGAAGCTGCACCGTCTGCTGGGGAAGATTGACCCGTCGCACTAATATTATACAACTTGTTTTAAGTTATAAGCACTCTCAGCCTACATATGCCTTTATATTGACATGGACATCCTACTTCCCAGCTGCTGCAGTTTACCTTTCCCACCCCTTCCTCCTCTCATTCTCTCTCCCTTTCCACTGCAGGTGTCAGAGCTGCCCCGAACTTTCCCTGCCCTTTCATCTAAGTATCTTATATTTTCCTTCACCTGATTGCCTACCCAGAACTGTTCTGGTAAAAGAAAGGAATAAGAAAAGTCAACCAGGAGGTTTCCCCATCTTCTCTTCCTTATCTCTGATAATTCATCCTGCCTTCCTTATCTCTGATAATTTCCCACAAATGCATCTCTGAATTATGGCAACATACTCCCTCTTATCTCCTACTTCTTCATCTCCTGAACTTTCATCTTATAAAGAAATAATCTAGATACTCACTGGGATGATATTTGTCTCTAAAGTAGCCTCACCTTCTTTCAATCATGTGTGTACTGGAAAATACACCTCATTATTACCTATGTATTGCCTTAAAAAAAAATCTTTTCTTTTGGGGAGGGGGGTTATGGATTCTTTTGAGAATTTAATTAAAAACTCTGAACCCTCTCCCAAGGAAAAGAAGTGTTCAAATGAACATTCACACTCCTGAGAGGTCAAGATGAAGATAGAAAAATATTCATTCTATTTAGTGACATGGAATTATATCCATAGCAGGAAATAATGTGTGGTTCCTATAAGCAAGAATGGAGTATGTTGAGGAGTGAGTAGGAGGTAAGACAACAGAGAAAAACTACTGACAAACTTTTTAAAAATTCACTATGATGGGAAGGGAAAGAGGACAGCAGGTAGAGGGATATGAAGGAAGTGAAGAAGTTTGCTTTATGTTTATGCAAGCATAAATACTGATGGAAAGGGCCAAGTTGAGAGGAAGAGGTTGCATATATACAAGAGAAAATCGATATAGAATAATATAAGGTTCCTGTGAAGGTAGGAGGTAATGGAATCCAAAGTACAATAGACTTCTGTGGGTAGCCATCCTTTATAACATTGTTTCTATGGGGGAAATGCAATTTACATTCCAAATAAGTGACTTACAAATGATCCTTTTGGCCACTGCCATTTCATTAGGTTGAAGACTTGAAGGGTTGTTAGTTTTGCCAATATCCCAAAATAAAAGAGGAGATGGAATGATACAGTGGACTGCAAGAGCCCCAGTCCTGGCACAGACACTAAAATGCTAGGTGACCTTGAGTCAGTTGTTCATGCTTCACCTGCAAAATTAAGAATTTAGGCCTAGAAGTATTTGAAGTTGTGTATGGGGGAGGAGGGAGATGATGTTTTGGTTGTTATAACAACTGGGGTTGCCACTGGTATTAGGTGCTGAGGACCAGTGATGCTGATTATCCCATAATGCACAGGACAGGTTGTCACAAGAAAGAACTGTCATACTCAAAGCCTATAGAAATCCTGATGAGAAACTCTGGACCATGACTGTAACCTTGTAAGACGTTTCCAGCAACATGGTCAAAACGGTCTAAGAAGTTACAGTGAGTTAAATGCCACTGAGAATCTTTCAAATCTCAGGGACAAGCCTTTGGTTTTTCTCAAAGTGGGTAGTGCCTTGGCTAGTTACGAGTATTTAGCAAGCCTTTTAGATTAGGTGCTGTCTCTACCATATATGCCAACCAAGACTGAAATACAAGTTTGATTTATCTTTATTCTTTTCCTTGTATTTCAGGTACTATTGGGATTTGCAGCCCCAAGGTGAGTGCTTTTTGGACATTTATGGTTTTACACTAAAAATGTGTGGATAGTATTGTTGACTTCTGCGTCTTCTAAATAAGCTTCTACACAGAATGGTATTAGCCATTTCTAAGGAAAGTTAGTGGAGTGTTTAATTAACCCTCACCCTGCTGGGCTCCCCCACCCTGCTTTTTAGCAACAAGAGGCTCTGATGCATCTGCCTTCTGAGTGGATTGGTGCTAGATTATTTTACTGAACCAAAGCTATAATATGCTTTTACTCCTTGAGCTTTGTCAGATGCCAACAGGATCCACTAACATTCAAATAAAATGGTGGCCGAGTCCATAATAAAAACCTTGGGAGGGCTCCAACTCAGCTAATCCTTCATTTGCTCCAGAAATAAATTCCAGTATGTTACCTCCTTGGTCACAGTGCTCTTCCACACAGCCTGCCTGTCTGGCAGCAGAGAAATGTCAGAAATGGAGTAGTGTTGAAATTCCCACTAGAACAGTGTTATCACATTTTAATATGAGCCTCACTGCAGCCTTGGTGCTTCTAATTGCTTTCAAACCATTGTTTTCCTGCTTTTGCTTGATGAACCCAGCATCTGGCATGATTCTAAAAACTACAACAGACAGCTGTGTGCAAAATTAAAAAAAAAAAAGGAGAGCATTAGAACTTATTTTTAAAAGGTTCAAAATTGGATTTTTTTCCAAATTCAACTCGAAAGGATGTCTTTAAAGTGTATATATATATTTTTCTTTTTAGTGCTCTGATTGAGAATATCAGAAACATATTCTGAATATTAACTCTTAACCTATTATGAATGGAGGATTTTTATTTTCTCAGAGAATCAGGAAGAGTTCTAGATCCAGCTTACAAATAGCTTTATGAACTATTTTGCTCTAAAACTTTTTAAAATCAATTGTAAACTTTCTAGTTTTCCTACTTCTATTCTCTTAATATTATCAATGTATCCATTCTCGGTGAGCAGTAATACCTTAAACTCAAATTGTGAGGAATGATACTAGTTTTATGAAAAATTTAATTTTCCTAGATCAAACTTGTAGCGTATTTGAAGTCGATTTAGGCTTTTCTTTAAAAGCAAACTCTAGAAATAAAAATCTTACATGTTTAAAGCTTTTTGACTCTTGTAAGTTAGTCAACAGTATTTATAATATTTTTTTTATTATTTATTTATTTATGATAGTCACAGAGAGGGAGAGAGAGAGAGGCAGAGACACAGGCAGAGGAAGAAGCAGGCTCCATGCACTGGGAACCCGACGTGGGACTCGATCCCGGGTCTCCAGGATCGCGCCCTGGGCCAAAGGCAGGCGCCAAACCGCTGCGCCACCCAGGGATCCCTATTTATAATATTTTAAATAATGCGATGCAGCATTACTGTATATCTCACTGTCCTAAAGCACTTATGGCTAAAAACATAGACTAAGAATAGAGAATTATATGTAATAATGTAGCAGTTTGCTTTGCAAAGTGTGAAATATGCTATTCAGGCAATGGCCCCATATAGTTCAGGGTTTAACAGATGTTAACCAAAATCCACAGGGGGCAGAACATGAATGTGAACTGTGAAGGTAGAATTAATTACCTAAAGGAGAAATAAAGAATTAGTGTCAGAGCTATGGTATAGTAATGTATTGAGAAGAGAAGAGAATTTTGGAGTTGAACACAAGAAACTGTATGGGACTACAAAGACAAAGGGCAGATCTTACCAGAGTCTTGTAATAGTGGCATTGCAGTCATCCTCCGGTTTGTGGCAAATTCCACCCAGCCTTTCTCAGAAAGAGGACAGAGGTAGAGCAGCCAAGGGGACAATTGAAGAACAGAAAGCTGCATTTGCTTCTCAACAATGACTGGATATATGTAGGAAACTCTTTGCTCATTTAGAAGCAAATGTAGGAAAGATCAAGTTGGAAAACCCATACTTGTGTCTTGCCCTCAGCCTTGCTCTTCCCCCTAAGACATTTTTGGGAGTAGGGTAGTATCTTTTACCTTGCTCTTTTGATCAGATCTTAGTTGACTGTGTGCTTTAAAGAAATTGGCAGGGTGTGTGGGGGCAATAATAAGTCTCTGTAAGGTACTAAAGGACAGTTTAGGAATATGAAAAGTATAGGAATATATAAATAAGAACAGCTGGCAGAAGAATTTAAAAAGCCCTGGAAGATTAGGTAGTATTGGGAAGGGAGTGAGAAAGGACAGAAATGATGGCCTCCAACTTTCTTATCATTTTTATCTGTGGCAGGATCCTCATGCAGGAAGATGATGGGATGAATTTGATTAACTCTAGGCAAATGCCTAAATACACACTTGTGTTCTTTAGGATAAAAATAAAATAGAGTCTGGTGCCTGGAAGGAAAATAGCTCTTTTTAAAAAAATATTTTATTTGAGACAGAAAGAGCACACAAGCAGAGGGGCTGGGAGGAGGGTACGGACAGAGGGAGAGTGAGAAGCAGACTCCCTGCTGAGCAGGGAGCCCAACTCAGGGCTCAATCCCAGGACCCTGGGAATCATGACCTGAGGCAAAGGCAGATACTTAACCAACTGAGCCACCCCTCACCCCAGAAAATAGTTCTTAATTATAAAAGATCCATTATTTATAAATCTATTGAGTAGCTACATTTAAACACCTGGCTATGGAAAAGTCTATGAGTTGATACAAGGTGTTGAAAGGGCAACCTTTAAAGAAAGATGCTTGGGTGAATGGACTGCCCAGGCATAGAGAAGACTGCAAATAAAATTTTTCTTATCCATCATTCCATTCAATCCCAGGTTTAATATGGTGGAGGAGTGACCATTAAATAATGTCAGGGAGAGTCTTGTCTGTTCTGGGGAAGAAACTTGGCATGTTAGAAAGAATATGGACATTGAGGCTTAACACCTTGTATAAATCCCACCTAAACCATTTAGCTGAAGGTCATGTGACCTTAGCATGTTGCTTAATTGCTCTGAAACTCAGCTTCCTCATCTATAAAATAGGGGATCTGCCAGATACTGTGCTAAGTCCTTTATATGCACTATCTTATTTAATTCTCAGAACAGGGATGTTGTGGGTGGCTCAGCAGTTGAGCATCTGCCTTTAGGTCAGGGCATGATTCTAGAGTCCCAGGATCAAGTCCCACATCAGGCTTCCTGCGTGGAGCCTGCTTCTCCCTCTGCCAGTGTCTCTGCCTCTCTCTGTGTATGTCTCTCATGAATAAATAAATAGAATTAAAAAATAATTATCAGAACAGCCCTACGAAATAGACACTAATAAACCCAGTTGAAGACATGGGCACTGAGGCACAAAGAGATTAAAAATTATTCAAGATTGTGCCCCTCAAGGATTCTAACTTTGGTCATACTGATTCCATAGCATTCACTTTTTTTTAAAAGGGTGTAGCTTTTTTAAGATATAATTCACATAATATTAAGTTCATCCTTTTAAAGTATACAAGACAGTGGCTTTTAGTATATTACTGAGTTGTACACTCATCACCACTCTCTAGTTTCAGGACATTTTCATCACCCCTAATAAGAAACCCCATGCTTATTAATAGTTCTAAAGCCAGTGCTCTTCATTGCTGTATTTTACCATCTCATTGCAGTACTGTTATGAGGACTAGTGGTAATATGTGTTAAGTCCTAGCATGGAACCTGGACACTAAGAAAATGTAGTTCATATTTACAATAGTGTTAATGGCAATTCTTTCCCTCACATTTCCACCCTAATTTTCTTATCGGTCTACTGTCACCTTCCTGAATGATGTTTATTAATAAAGAATGAAACATGGGGAAAATAAAACAACCCAAATAATTTATTACTTTAATGTAGAAGGAACATAAATGAAAGAGTTCTTTTAATGAGCTCAAATATGATTGGAGAATGTGAGAAAGGCTTTTTATTTTTATTTTTTAATAAGACATGGATTCCTTTGACAATTCAGGTCCTGCTTGCTTTAAGAACTTTTTTTCTACTTAACGTTTCACTTAAAATTATAAAAAATATTCACTGGAATCTTTGCCATGGAGCTTTTACCATTTCATTAATCGGATACTCAAAACATGATGCTGATCAGATGTTAAATAACATTAGTTTTACCTTTTAGATATGATGACAGTCTGACGTTACGGCATTGAGCCAGCTGATTTACTTTATTATGTTTAGTTTCTCTTTTTATAAAATGAATTAATAATCAACAGTTATAGTTTAATCAAATTTGAATTACAAGGCATAATGTTTATAATTAAAAATTTATTGCTAGAAAAACATCATCATGAATATTAGAAAAATTGCTCATCATAGACCCAGAATCTAAATCAGATTAAACAATATTTAAATAAAAATTTAAGAGAGATCTTATGTATATAAATACATACAAAAAGTCAAAAAAAGCCATTTTTTGTCCAATGGTCACTCATATTACATTTGTGATAGTGGTAAATATGGGCCAGTGAAATTTCTTGCCAGCTTGAAGATTTTTTGAGTGTTTTTATAAGTGGTATAGAGAGTTTCTGAGAAAATCATTTAGTGTATTTTAACATGAAAATTTTCCACTGTGTAAATCTTAAAATCTCATGAAATGACAAACCTATATCCCTTGTCAGGTAAATTGATGCCTAAAAATATAGTTTGGTGAAAATGAGTAATGCAAAGTGAAAAAAGAAATGTTATTATAAAGTCTTATTAACTATAGATTAAAAGATTTAGAAGGCATATCAACTAATTGCCTTATTTGCCTTATCAACTAATGGACCTTATTTTCATCTTGAGTCCGATAAACTATAAAAACTTGTATCTATGAGAGAATTGGAAATGTGAACACTGAATATTTTATGTCAAGAATCTACTGAAAAGCTTTTGCACAGCAAAGGAAACAATCAACAAAAAGAAAAGGCAGCCTCCTGAAAAGAAGACATTTGCAAATCATACATCTGATAAGGGTATTAATTCCAAAGTATATAAAGATGCAACTTAATATCCATAAAACCTCCAAACAACCTGATTTAAAAATGGGCAGAG